AGAACAAGGTCCAGGTCCCCCACCCCGAAGCCCGAACCACCTACCAACAGGACCTCCATCTTGTCTGGATTGAGCTTCAGTTTATTGGCCCTCATCCAGCCTATTACCTTGGCCAGGCACTGGTTCAGTACAGCCTGGATTGGTTGAAAAAGAGAGGTAGAGCTGGGTATCATCAGCGTACTGATGATTCTGCAGCCCACACCTCCTAATGACCTCTCCCAGCAGTTTCATGTAGATGTTGAATAGCAAGGGGGACAAAATGGACCCCTGTGGTACTCCATGGCATAGCTGACATGGTGCAGAGCCATAGTCCCCCAGCACCACCTTCTGGAATCAGCCATTGAGATAGGAGCGGAACCACTGCAAAGCAGTGCCTCCGACCCCCAATCCCGCTAGCCTATCCAGAAGGATACCATGGTCGATGGTATCGAAAGCCAAAGAGAGGCCCAGGAGAACCAACAGGGATGCACCCCCCTTGTCTCTCTCCCTGCACAGGTCATCATACAGGGCGACCAAGGCAGATTCAGTACCATACCCAGGTCTGAAGCCAGACTGAAATGGGTCCAGATCCAGAAATGCTTGGGTCCAGAAATGCTTAGTATTTCCTACTAAACTGTACTAGAAGCAAGGAAAAGACAGCATCAGTGTCAGTCACAGCAGCCAGACTCTAAACATATTGTGCAGCAGATGCAAACAAAAATAAAAATGAAGTTCCATTATTCACAAGAATGTTTTCCGAAGAAGCCATCAGGACACCTGCTGCTAAAATAGCAAACTCACTGTCTCAACAGGAGTGGTTTTATGCACCTTTGTATGTTGCCAGGAATGTAATTACTACATTCAGTTTTGAAAAGCTGATTAGCACAAAACCTTTGGACTTCCTGTTCCAATACAACAGGGAAGAATGATTTACATGGCACTGGGCCTATATATGCAATAGAATGAGGTGCAAGAATCGCAAAATGATAGAACGGATTATACTGCTCCAGACTTCAGATGAACATTGTTGATACTGTGGTTTCAGATGAAATGCAAAGTGAGCAACTTAACACTGATGGTGTCACTGAGAATTAACCCAGAATTTTGCAACCTAAGCTCTCAAGATAGGCTAAAGGCATTTGGCATTTGAAAAACAACATTAACTAACTAGTATTCCAAGGGTTGTACATAACACTTGACATTTTGAAATCCACCAAATGTGCATGCTTGTTTTACTCAAATGTAAACCCCACTGTGTGTAAAGGTGACTTCCAGGTAAGTGGGTAAAGGACTGATGCCTGAAGGTCCTCTATCTTGCATAGGTATGTGACTCTGAGCTACACAAATTGTGAAAGGACATCGAAATGTATTATATTGCTTGGGTAGCAGCCAAACAGCAGCAATTGAAGGCATCTTTATCCAAACGTATTAAGATAGTAGAGGACACATTTGTAAAGAAACAGTAGCTGCTATAACGACACTGCAGAAATAAGGGGATGATGAACAAGAGTGCACAGGCATCAACCATGTACAAAGGAGCAGCTCCAGGTATTGAGGCACGGGCAAGAGCACCTCAGTGCGCCTCATCCCTTTGTGGTCCTCTTCTTCTGGCCCCAACCCGCATAACTGCCCATATGGTGCAGTGGTTAGAGTAATGAGACTGAAACTTGGGAGACATGGGTTCTAGTCCCTGCCTGGATATGCGGCTCACTGTGCAACTTTGGGGTGGTCAGTGACCCTCAACTGAAATAAAATTAATAGGCTCATTGGCATGTTATTGTGAGACTAAAATGGCAGACGGGCAAGACAGTGCAAGCACCTTGATACGATGAAAAATGGTGGATGACCATCTAAAGAGAGAATGTGTGCAAGGCATGCATAGGGTGCTGTACTATCCACTATCCCTCACTTCTGCTACTGCCAGAATCCATTGAAGGGATGGCCGACCAGGCAATGACAGTGAAGAAGAGGAGCAGAACAATCTGGAAGCTTCACATATCAGCAGCACGCCCACAGATTTATTGTGGACCTTGGCAGTTGCCCAGCAGTACCTACTCACAGCACCATTCCTGGATGGACACATGCCTCTGACTCTACTCACACAAACAGAACTTGTCATCCAGAAAGAGGAAGGTGGTCTTGTATTTAATAGATACGTGTGGGGGGAAGCCCACCTAAACGTGAATGCACACACACTTTAGAATATGCAGGGAAGAAGAGTTATGGAAATATGAGGTCTTTGTAGGCCGCATAGTTCTTAAGTGCCTGCTTGAGCCAATGGCTTAGGACTATGAACTTGTTAGAGGCACTGAACAATGAAGATATTATGGACGTGGGGAGAGCAGCGATGGGTCACTGTGCCATGCAAGCTGCATTCAATGCAAAAGAAGAAACAAACAACTACCCCCTGCTGGCTACCACCCAGGCTGGCTTCAGCTTGTCCCTCCTTGGATCCTCAGGAGAGCTGAGCCCAATGTTTCCTTGCTGCATGCAAGCAAGCTTTAGAAGGCGGCCCCTAAAACTAGGCAGACCAAAAGGGATTAATAGTTTTAGCCAAACAGAAGTGGTAACCATGTGAACTGGGAGGCTCGCAAATAAGCTCAAGCAGCTCACAGCGGACACCACTATCTGCATGGAGTTGCCAGGATACGCAGCACCATCTGGGACGATAGGGCAAAGTCAGGTTGCAATGACAAGACGACAGCATAAGAGACTTGCATGGACTCCCAAAGTTTAGAGTTCCAGAACATTGCAAGCCAGGAAGAAGCCAAACTGTGATACATTAAGTACATGCAAAGAGTTATTAAGGGGGCTGGTTTTTTAAGTAAGGTTTGTGAAGAAGGCTACCCCAAAAGGCACTACAATAAAATTATTTGAAAGCTGAAGTAATGAGCATGCAGGGAAATGCAGTCACTCACTGCTCCTCAACCCCAATGATCCGTGAGTTAAACAACCCACACATAGTACATTTTGGAAGGTTGGGGTTGATGGCACATAACACCCCCCCCCCTCAGATTCAAGCTACCTCCAATAGAAGGTCATCTTATTTCTCCTTAAATCTGGACAGAGAAATTCCATAAAGCTCCAGACAACTGTTCAGCCACCCAGCTGTTCCAACTATCAGATATACCTCCTCGCTCCTGTCTTCAGAAGCATCACTGCACCATATTAAACCCCAGTGTTTGCTCCTCCCTCAACAGCAAAAGTACTGTAGGATTTCCTTTGCTACTCTTTTTACACTGGAGTCCAGAATCCAAGCAGTGCCTGTATGACCAGCCCAACTGCACAAGCAACTAAAGCAAATGCTCATGGCAACATCTGAAGGATCGCCTTCTCCCATGAGTACCTATCTGTACCCTGAGGTCATCTTTGGGGGTCCTTCTCGGGAGCCACTTCCAAAGGAGGAGATCTTTTTGACTGTGGCACCCCACTTTTTAAATGAGCTCTTGAAAGAGGTGTCTCTGGGGGATACTTTGTATTCTTTTTGGCACAAGGTGAAGACCTTTTTATTTCCAACATATGAACAGCTTAACTTTAAATTTGTGTTTATATATTTCATTTCATCCTATACTGCTGCTATGATTCTAGGATGAATTGCTATTACGATTATAGTCTTGTTCTTTTATATTAATGTGCGGGTTTCTAACTTTCGTTTAATGTTAACTTTTGTTAACCCCCCCCCCCCCCCGAGAGCCTCAGCTATTGGGCAGTATAAAAATGAAATAAATCAATCGTTTTTAAAAGTGCCTATGAGACAGTGCGCAATCCCAGTGGTATGTCCCAGGATCCTTGTGACATCATTTAGCAAAGCTTCCATCATGCAGCACAGCTGTTTTATATGGCAAGATGCCCTGGGCTAGGGCTGAACATCTGTGGAACCCATCCCTTCCCCAACTCTGCACCTTATCTTCTACCAATCAAAACAATAGGTGTCTTGTTTATGGGGCAGTTCCTCTGAAGCAGTGCAAGCGCATAGGTCAAGCCCAGCAAACTGTGGGTTCTGCACACCAGCCCAGGAGCACGAACAGGTGCAATAATCAAACAATAAGGCAATGCCATCTTAACAGGGCAACTGCAGCAGCAAAAGAGCAGAGATGTATTTGCAAAGATGAAGCTCAGTTATTAAAACATTTGCTTAGCTTCAAGGGGTTTCTCTTGGCATCCTTTGGAGACTGGCTAGAAAGAGACATTCCATATCGCTTTCAGCTGTGCGAGAAATAGACAACTGGTGAGTTGACATTTTCTCCCATTCTATGAGACAACTGGCACAAACGGGAAGAATCTGAACAATGTTTATATTCTGCTTCCAAAATGCTACCAAACTAACCAGTCTCAAATGGTGGGATGTCTGCTCCCAGTGAGTCTTAAACACATGCCTTTTGGGTTGGTGATTTGGTTGTTGATACAAGCCTTGAGCATATTACAGATGTTATGGGACAGCCTCCAGAGTTTGGTAAAAAAAAAAAAAACAACCCCTGCTTGAAGCCCCTCAAAACCCCACTGTATTTGCATGGAATTGTGGAGAGCAGAGCAAACAACTTAACTAGAAAGAATACATACTATATATCCCTTGGAATCAACTGATTATTGTATGGGCTTCTTGGTTAAATACGCACATGCACCTCCTAACCCCCAACTCTTATCAAACTACAGTTTGGCTGATTTGACGGGGGCACTGTTTCTAAACAGGCTATCAGGACCAATCAACTGGGACAAATAGAAAAACTTGAATCATTTTATCAATCAGCACCATCTTGTTACTGCCACCCTCAGTTACTTAAGAGACTTTTAAAGGCAGGATATTTTGGTGTGTTTGCTTATTTGCTTTAAAAGAAAAGGATGTAAAGACCTCACCTGAAAAGTTACCAAGTGAAGACAGAAATTCAGTAGATTAAAAACTCTAGCTAGAAGAGAGGATACAAGGATACCTGTGCTTTTAAGATGGTGCTTTCAAAATTCAAAGATTTCTCTGCACACATTCTCAAGCCCACCTGAAGTACGGTAATGTGGTTATGACTTACCGATATCTTATTTTGACTTTGTCATTGTCCGGATTGCAGTAGAGTCTTTCCAGATGCTCCTGAGAGTCGGTGGTCACACTCTGCCATATCTGGGTAGCCGTCCTCCTGACCTGCCAGTGATATGGCAGGACTGTGTGATGCTTAGGGCAGTCGCTGCCAAATATACACATGCCTTGTAGGAAATCCACACAGATGTCAACCCTGTCCTTCTGGTGGGTGTGATATTGCAGCTGGTTCAAGAGTTCAAACACAAGGTCAAGGGAAGCTTCCTCACTTTTGTTCTGGAAAAGCCCTGCTCCAAACTTATCGCTTGGGTTCCCGTTACACCGGACCAGGCAGCTATTATTGTCTGGGAGCACCCCAGGTGGGTAACCTTCAAGTATCTTCCCAGGGCACAAAGGAAAGGCAGCAGCATCACCAGAGGCAGCATGCAAGGAGCGGTCCTGGAATGGCTCATTAGCTGGAGAGGTAGCGGAGGGGAAGCTCTGCTCCCCGGGCTGGGCTCCCTGCTCAGGAGGACCCTCGGATATTTGCCCCTGAGCTCCTGGAGCTCCTGGCATCAGAACTGGCACACTGTTATTCGGTGGTGGGCACGGAGACGCAATCCCCAAGTTCTTTTTTGCAACAGGCTCACAGAGGTTACCATGGTCAGAGTTCTGCCCCCTGGGCACAAAGATGGCATCCAAGGTGCCTGCACCAAGCAGACTGGTGAAGATGGGATGCAAAGCCCTGAGTGCTTCTGTATCCAGCCTTTTCTGCATCTGCTGTTTTTTCTTAAAGCAAGGCTTGACTGGTGGTATCTTTTCAGGGATCCTCAGAGGAGGAGGGAAGACCTCTGAAGGGGCCGAGTGCTGCATTTCCTGGCAGTGAGCCTGCGGAACAGCACATGGAGGTTCCAGCTCAGTCTCCATCTTTCGTGGAGTCTTCTGTTTCCCTCAGTCTCACCCCCTTCTGAGACACTTCCAACTTCCCAGTACTGTGCAAGAGCCAACCTAAGGCAAAAGCAAGGGACAGTTAATCTCTTTCATTGCAAGGGTTGACACAAAACAACCCCCCCCCCCAAGACAGCAACTGACACTCCACTCCACCATCTTTACTGTGACTGGGGCAACCCCTGCATACACAAAAACTTGAAAGCAGCTGAAAATGCAAGACTTAATCCCCCAAACAAACATATTCACCCTTCTCCTCCTCCACCAAAAGGCCTGGGCCTGCCTTTCTCCAGCTCCTCCTCTATTTACACAGGACCCTGGCTTCTTTTATATGCATGTGCTGTGTTGTCCTCTCTTCTCCATTCTCCCAGAGGCTCATGGAGATAGGAAACACATCATGGCAAAAGAAAACACATGCCAACTGACTCCCCCCACCCCGGACCCACCGAGATGCAGAGTGTCTGTATACAAAGACATGTCCCCAGAGTCAGGCTGATCCCCAGCCTCACAAGTTATCACATTCAGGACGAATGACTAAGAGCATGTGAGAATGTGAAACTGTTTGAAAAGGCTCTCCCTCAGATGGATTCGTTTCTCAAAGAGATGTTGTTTCTGTCACTCACGCGCACCAGAACTGCCTTGTCACTCCCTCCGCCAAGCGCCAAGCCCTTTTCAGTAGTTTCACATTCCCACATGCTGTCACTCATTTGGTCTGAATCACAGATCAAGAACTCAGCCTCTTCTGATTGCATGGCACCAGAGGGTAAGCTCGCCTGCCACCCACCGGGCTACGTAGCTACTGCAGCCTTCAAAAGTTTGCAGTGGGGAACTGTGAAATGTGCTGGGGCTGGCCAAGAATTCTTCCACAATCCTGGCTTGGGAAAAGACAATCACTCAGTTAGAAAGAACTTCAGTATTTACACTGAATGGGCAGACACATAAGTGAAGGTGGAGGGAGGCAAGAAGGTTATTCAAACAAGTTTCTCCGGCTTTGTCCTTAAGTGGTCACCTGGTAGCTAGAGGACTCAATAAAGGAGTGGAAGCAGACAAAGCATTAACTGTTAAAAGGGGGGTAGAACTCCCCATTTTTTTCTTTGCCAGCCCCCATCAAGAGGCTAGCAACGTTTGCGGGCTCATTTAAAAGGCCAGTTTTAGAAACACTTTATGGCATTTAAAGCTTTGCTCCTCCAACACATTAGAAACAATCCAAAGACACAATGCTATTAATTAGGACTACATATTCCCAGGAGCTTTGATGGGCAGATCTGGATCTTCACTTTTCACCCAAACCAAGTCTTTGCCTAGACTCAGATATATAACAACATGTCTGAAATTGCCTTATCTGTAATATCAGGGTAAAGATTACACATGCTTTATGTTTTCTTCACAACACTAGCCTTTATTGCTTGACATCCTGCCAGCTTTTTTTCCTTTTCTAGTCACAAGGAGTTCAATCACCATAAGGAAAGAAATAATGATACGGAAAATACAAGAACGTTCAAGTGAGCTACACCCAAGTTAACTATGAAGTTCTATCCTAGAGCAAACAGTCTGAGTCTTGAGGGGCTGCCAGCTAAATTGCCTCCCCATGCAAATCCCAAAGAGTCTAGCAGCTTGGGTGGCAATGCAAGATCACTTTGATGCAAGGAAGTTCCCAGCAATAAGTAGGGGGAGACCTAGGAACACTGCCACCAGCTCCTTAAACACACACACAAGAGGGAGAGGGAGAGAATGAGAATTAAGCATGGACCTGGGGAGAGCCCTCCTACAACAGAGGGAAGAGGCATACCACATTGCAAGAGAATCTATTATTTTTTGGCAACGGAAGCTCAGAATCATTAAACAATTAGCTACCCCCCCCTTTGCTCCGCAACATACATCAGAGAAGCCTAAGAGCGGTAGAAATGAAAATAATTCGTATTTTTCCATTCTTTTGGAGTGCCATAGAAGACTGGTGAAGTTTCTAATCCAGATTTTAGCAGGCACGAAGGCAGAAAAAACAGTGATTCTTCTAGAATATAAAAGAAAATAGAATAGCGCGAGAGCTACGAACTAAGCCACGATCGGGCGATTAAGCTTCATAACCTACACTCCAATTTTACATGGCTCCAAATTTCATTCACTCCTGAACTAGAGCACTTCACTCGTACAAGGCTGGGACTCAGTAACTTCCCTCTTCCAACAGGCAGCTGCGAAGTCCTTCTGGGGAGGTCAGAGGAAACCCACACTGGACTGGGAGTTTGCAACACACATTCTATCTTGGGAGTCAAGTCTTACAGAGCTCAAATGGGACTCGACTTCCTAGTAAAAGCATTTGAGACTGCAGTCCTTGGAAAGCTCTACCACCAAAGTAATAAATTTCAAAAAGGGCTCTCTGGTCGAGTACACAGGATCGGGTGGTTAAATGCATATATACACACAAACGGTCACCGAGGGAAGGTCGTTCCACCGGGGCTCAGCTCTCCTTCGCAGCCCCGGATCTGTTGCTTTGCAGGCTATTCCTGGCATCTTTACGCAGAAGTAAACCCCACACGTTCCAAGGGCGTTTGCTTCCGAGCAAGAGCGCACACAAAACTCGCAGAAGAGCCTTAGCAAGGAAGGACTTTTTCAAGCCACAAAGAGACTCCCCACCCCTTCTCCCGCTTAAAAGGGATGTTATATTTCTAAAGAAATAAAAAAGAAAGGATTCGAGCTAAAGCCTCGAGGAAAGTTACCCGAGTCTGCTGCTGCAAGGAAGGAGGACGCTCGACTTTCCCGCTGCGCGGCGACCAGCACCAGCAGCTAAAACAATGCGAAGCCAGCCCGAAGAAGGGGGGCGGAGGGGTGTCCTTTTCTTCGGGGCGCGCTCGACAGATGGGAAAAAAGCCTGGAGGAGGAGGAGGAAGAAGAGTAAGCGACGGCGTCGAGAGCAAAAGCAGCCTTGTCTCCCTGTTCTCTCAGCGCGATCTTTGTAAAGGACGGCGCCGCCGCTTAGGCTGGGCCAGCAGCCTTGCTTGTTTTCCGCCTCCCCGTGCGTGACAAAGCACCCATTCCGGCCAGCGGAGGGAGAGAGCGGGAGAGCGCCGGCGGAGGAGGCGGCGGCAGCGGCAGCAATTCCAGGCCAGCCCCGCTCGGCACTCTCCTCCTCCGAGCCTCGCGACGCCGATAGCTGCTTCTCACATGTTCCGCCGGAGCCGTTTAAATACCGCTTCCTGAAAAGCCCTCGGCCAGGCAGCTGCACGATTCGGGGGAGGAGCTCTGCAAAGCACCGACAGGGCTCCGCTTCTTCCCCCCGTGCTGCTCCCAGTCCGGAGCGACATTCCAGAGCAGGCTCCGCCTCTGCTTCCCGCCTCGCCGCTCCCGCCTGAGCGGGGCGGGAGCAGAGGAGGAGACTGTGTGCTGCTCAGCTGGAATTATTCGCATGGCTCGGATGCTGGATTCTCCACGCGGCTTGGGGTGGAGAGGAAACAGCATCCGGACACGCACGCAGGAGGGTGCGTGCAAGAATTGCTAGTTTGCAAAGGGTCACTTTGCACCTTGGAGAGGCAGGAAAAGAGAGTAAAGTCTTTGCACGTAAAAAGACTCTTTTACCCATATATCGGAGTTCCGCACCCTGGTGCTGTTCAGCTATGTTAGACTACACCTCCCAGCATCCTTCAGCCAGCACGCATACGAAAGGTTGGGAAAGGATGATGTACACGAAACCCCAGTCTCCCCCATCCAAAAATCTTACCCCCTATTTTTCCTTCCAGTGTAAGAAGAAGACCCTTAAGCAGGCAGGAAATAGGGTGTGAGAATGGGGCAGGGCTGGTCTGCTTTGCATCGCGATTTCATGATTTGCGGGCAGGAGCAGCAAGCAGCCCCGGGCAGAATTTCGGGTAAAACGAGAGTTTGGTGTCGGTTTCTGCCTGCCTTCGAGCTGGGAGGAAATGGGAAACAGAATTACTTGGAGCGACCGAGTGATTGGCTGTTCGTGTGAGCCAAGTCACGTGTCAGCTGGCTTAGCCCCAGAACAAATCCGACCTCTTCACCTCCTTGGCGTTTTTAACTCTAAACCTTTTCTGAAATGAAACAAGGAAGTCAGCAGGCGAGCCGTGCGGGTGCACAAAAGAGAGAGGAAGCCAATACGTGCGAAACGGCGTCGAGGTTATTGATTCGTGTGACGAGGCTGTTCGTGAGGAATCGAACGATTTCATGTTCCCTTTCGACACATGCGATAAGAATCCTCCTCTTGAGAAGACCAGCATCTCCTCATGAGAAATATCGCGAACTGAATAAGAAAGCGGTAATTCCTTAATGTTTGTTCATCTAGTCTTCCCATCAAGAATCTCATAGGCTTTGCATAGCATTTTTGTTCGTTTAAATTCGCAAAGTGCTCTATAACCTTTGTTTGATAATGTTTAATGTGTATTTCTTTTGCAATAAAATGTTGGAGGACAATGCAATTTGCATGTTACAGATCGAAGAAGTGAGGCTAAGGGAAGAGTAATAATACACGCCTATTCTTTTACAGTCAGAAGTAAACTCCACTGAATTCAGTGAGATTTACTCCCACATAAATGTGCATAGGATTGCATGCACAGCCAAACTCAATGCAGATTACCTTAGATTAAACCTGTATAGGATTGCTCTGCATAGCCACTCGACCATAACATTCAATATGGTTTCAACATGAATTAAATACTGAAATTTAAATAATTAGAATAAAAATTTAAAACATTTTAAGAGTTTGGTGGAATCCTGTTAGCTGAAAGTTTTGAAACACTCCTAAAACATCCCTCTGAAAGAGCTGTACATCTGGAAACAGCTCATGTCAAGCGAAAATTCAGCTGGCCCACCTTTTCCACTGTAACCGGTACACAGACGAGGTTGCATTGGATAAACCCACCACACCATTCTGCCGGGCCATGACTCATTCCTGTCAGTGACTTTTCTTGTTTAGGAGAATTCAGCTTTCGGTCACGGGCTGGCAGGATGTTGTGGCTTACTCAACACAATCCCATTTGAGCATTGTCATAATGGAAAAAAATGGATCAGCTGAATTTATGTCTGACTTTAGCCTTTAGAAATTATTAGGGTTATTGCTGCAGGAAACAGATAACTTCCAACTGATTTGTAGATACAGATATTTAAATTTTCCTTTTGGGTAAAAAAAATGTATTTAGATCACAAGCCTATGCATGTTTAGACAGAAAGGGGGATTCCTCTGATCAGATGGAAACAGTTCAACCTGTTCTGGATGGAGTTGCAGTCCCCTTGAAGGAGCCAGTTCATAGCTTGGGGTGCTTCTTGAGTCATCTTTGTTACTTGAGGCCCAGGTGGCCACAGTGGCATGGAGTGCCTTCGACTGCCTTTGGCTAGTAGCTCAGTTACACCCCTATTTGGACAGGGATATGATTTTAGTAATCCGGTAATCTCTAACTAGATTACTGCAATTCACTTCATGTGGGGCTGCCCTTGAAGACTGTTCAGAAGCTGCAGTTTATGCAGAATGTGCCAGCCAGATTAATAACTGGGACTGGAAGGTCATAACACTGGCCTGTTTGCTTTAGCTGCCTATATGCTTCCAAGTCAATTCAAGGTGCTGGTTTTAATCTCTAATGCTCTACATGGCTTGGGGCTATAGTATTTGATGAAATGGCTTTCCTGGCAGGAATCTGCCTTGATGTTTATGATCAAAACCTGGGGCCTGCTTCCAACCTCCACCTGCTTGGTGGTAAGGAGAAGGGCCTTCTCAGTGGTGCCCCCCCCCCATTTTTAGAAAAAACTATTGAGATCTGCCTGGTACCAGCTATCCTTTCATTGTCAGGGTAACAGTGCCCTCTGTGCTAGAACATTTAGTTAGCTTTAATATTACCTTAGGTATTATGTTAGTTGCTTAACAGGTCTTGTGACTTAATTGGGCTAGCTTTTTAAGTGTCATGTTAAATGTGGCTTTTAAATGTTGAACTGTGATTTTTATGAAGTTTTTATTGCTATCTGGATTTTATTGTACTTTATGTGCTGTTGTAAATTGCCCAGACAGTTTCAGCTATTGGGTGGTACAGAAATAGAATTAAATAATAATAACAATAATTCCCAGTGTTTCCTAGCCAAGCTTTTATGACTTTCTACACATTTATTCTACACTAAACTAGCAGATAGCCAATTGAGATTAAAGTGAATTCATAATTCCAACAAAAAGCAAGAAATGCTTGTCAGTCATGCACATAACTTCCATGACAGAATCTGTGGTGTAGCTGGTCCTGGACTCCCCAGTCCAGGGCTCCCCAGAGAGCAGCAGGTGTTGGGGCAGTGGCAAAGAATCCAGGATCCACCAGGTTGGCAGTGCTCCTACAGGGTCCTTTTATTCGTATTTCCAAAACATTGCATAACTGGGGCAAGACCATCAAGCCTGTATATGGTTACTGGTTATTAATGCTCATGTTATTATTTTTATTTGAAGAATTATGAAATAACCAACACTGCTTAGGTTGTTGACATATAAGCAACTCTGGTGGTATGCCAATAGTGTGAGCTCCCATCATGGCTTTCTCCAAAAAAACCTTCGCTGTGTTGGCTTATGCTATTAACAGAGACATCAACAGTATAAGTAGAATGGTGGTGTTAGATATTCCTGATATTAACCTTTTTTTAACAACAACAAACAGGTGTTTTTCCGAGTAAATTTGTTTAGCCTTAGGGAAGTAAAAGCAAACAAAAAAATTATTTTTGCACATGTCAGTTTAAGTGAATTTAAAATGGAACTGCATAAGCTCAGAGTTGGCAAACACATGTTTGGTTTGATGCTCTTAATGTTCAGAGCTGGGCCAATCATAGCCACCTGGCTGTCTGATTTTCCCAAACCTGAAATAAGTCTGTTTGTAGCTTACCTGGCCAGGAGCAAAATAGCAGATGGTTGCCAATCAGATGGTAGAGAACTACCACAGAGTCTTACCTAATCATTCTGGGCATCAATAATTAATTTATGGGTCCTTAAAGCAGTTCTCAAGCCTGAAATAGCAAAATAAATCCATATAATAGATTTATATCTATTCCCACCTGTTCTCACAGAATAGTATACTCTAGTCATAATGAAGCAGGTTATAATTACTAACATTATAATAGCAATAATGATCAGTATATTCTTAACAAAAGTTAAATACAAGTTCCTTTCAGTTTCTGTCAACATTTCATATTTACCTAATTGGAAGGCATGGTTCACAGAGTTGGCATATACATCTTTGGCAGGCTTCTCATTATGACTCTGGTCAAAATCCAGAACCTTCTGTCTAACCAGAGGCAATGTTAGGCCATGAGGCTTTCAATTGGCCTTCTCAAGAGGCAGCAAGGAATAGAGCCTTCTCAATGGTGGCCCTCCAATTAGAGAATGATTTCTCCACTGAGCCCCAACTGATGTCAACTTTGTCATCTTTTCAGGATCAGGTTAAAATGGCCCTCTATCCCCAGGCATTTAATCGCATATGATGAGTTATATGTCACTGTTTTAATTATCTAGTTTTATTGAAATCATTTTTATTTCATGTTTAAACTGTTTTATATTTTGCATATTGGAATACCAGACTTTTAAATTTCTATATTGAAATTTTATTGTGTTTTATTGTATTTGTATTATTATTGTGTCTCACTTTATTGTACTTCCAGAAATTGTTGTGGACCACTCAGAGTTTCAGCTGTTGGGCAATACAGAAATAAAACAAACAAACATGGAGACCCACATTCCTGGAAGGCCATCTTCCCTCCCACTCTGTTACCTATGGGGTCTTGTTTTACGGAGATACAGGGGCCAATGATCTCTGTTGCATCTGATTTCCCAGAATTAGCTGCCTTCTTGTCCATAGGTGTTTTACCTCCTCCTACAATCAAATGCTCTCCTCTCCCCTCACCCCTTTTTACAAATAGGGGTGTCCTTGGGAGACAGATCCTTTAAAGCCACACAGACAGACCTGACAGCATAGGTAAATTAGCATATGCAAATATGTGCCCTTTTGTTACCGGGCTGGGCTTGAGCTCCTTATTGGTACCTGGCACTATGCCTGTTATGTAAGGCTAGCTTAACTTTTGCATGCAGCAGCAGATTGACTGAAATTGGAACTTAAGATCTAGTCACCAGTTCTTACACCTAACTCCAAGAGGGCCACTCCCTAACACAGCCACTTAGAAAGGACTTAG